TGTGTGAATTTTGTGATATTTTATCCTGTGCTGCAGGTTTACAATTTTTTACTTTATTGGTATATTTTTCGGAGTGTCGGAGTTTAAAGGTAGGTTGTGTTTATGGGCTTTGTGAGATTGAGGGATGTCTAGGAAGTGGGAATCGTCGTTATCTTGTCGCCCACACTCACTTTCACTCACACCGGACTGACTCATATCACGCATCACTACACTGCCGGACCGACTAGAACCCTTAGGAGATGGTCGCTGCTGCGTGATGGAGCTGATGTCACTCATTCTCTTGATTGACTGTAGTTCTTGTTATTGTGTTCATAAGCTGATTTTTTATATTTTACAATTATTATTTGGCATATATACGCCGGACCCACAGTTACGCAGTTTCTTGACGCCGATCTACCAAACGGAAAGTTTTTTTTTGTTTTATTGATAACTGTGTACATTTTTTTTTTGGCTTGCAACTTCCAGGATTTACTAGGATAGTTGAAAATACAGTTTTCAGGAAGAGTTGGATTTTATTTATGTTTTTTAGTCTCAAAGTTAAAAAAATAAAAAAATTGTTTTTCTCAAAATGTTTTTGGCGTACTTTTATATATATTTTTTAATGTTTTATTTTTTTTATTTGTTCAGAATAAAATATCCTACAAAATAAATATCAATTTAATAACTTTTATTTTGAGGAAGTTATGATATTTTTAGTAAAACTCTACAAATTCACCATTTTAGGCTTAGCAGTTTTGGGATAAAACATGTAAAAAACCTATTAACTTTAGTTTACACCTGGATCTGAGGAGGATTTCTATTACTGTAACATGTAAGGAATGGCTATGTAGAGATCAAATGAACTAAGAGATCTGGAGTGTATAAATAAGGATAATTTATTTGGAGAAGGATGAAAAATCCTAATAGTGGAAGAACAGAGGGCATAGCAGACCATGGACTGTCTGATAGGCACATTGATTACAGACGATAATGAAAGGAGAGATACTTAAAGGCAGATAGAAATAAAAAGAAATAGTAAATGAAATACTTAGTGGTGTGACTTATAAGATTTAGAGATCTGGAATGGGTAAGCGAAGATATTGAAGGGGGGGGGGGCTGTATGTCAAATGAAGAACAAGCACAGGGACGGAATGGGATTAAAGCATAGTATGTGAAGTTTTTGAGATAGGGGTTACTTGCAAAACTAGTAGAGGTTATTACGAATATAATGAGAGGGGGAATATTTCCAAAAGAGTTGAAGAAGGGTGATATTAAAGTATTTCTGGAAGATGAAAGCAAAGTCTTGTGGAAAGCTGCTGAGTGATACTCAAGAAGCTAATGGAGGTGATGGGTGATCAAATGGACAGAAGGCAGTTTAGCAGGAGAGGAGTGGGAGTAGAAGATGTTTTGGAAACATTGATAACAATTGTAAAAAGTAGATGAGAGGCAGAAAACTGATAGGAGTCTTTGATCATATCAGGGGGGCTTTAGATAATGTGTGTCACCTCGCAATATTGAAGCAACTGTTGGATTGGAAATGCTCTACTATACCTAGGTAGGTATAAAGTCTAAGTTATATAAAGTTAACTAAAGGAAAGGAGAGTGGTTTTGAAGGTAGGGAGCTCTTAAAGCGGAGAAAACCACAAGCAAGGATTGTCCTCAGGGATCGGTGCTACGACAGATTTCATCAAATAAACTGATGGTCTGCTGAAAGACAATTTTGAAGCAGCAGAAGTTGTAGGGTACACGGATAATACAGTGATAATACAAGGATAAAGGAGAGATCATCTAAGTGGCTGACAGTCTTTGGAGCTGGAGATGTCGGAAACAATGACAGTGGTGATGAAGCTGAGAGATGTTAACTTAGGGTAAATATTTGTAAGGCACAAAGGAAAAGAGACTGTAAGAGATTGATACTGTAGTAGTAAGAATGAGAGGGAGAATATTGTCAACTGTAAGGAGCTTGATACTTAGGGATAGAAATAGAGGATGTGGTAAGAAGGAAGAGATTGTATTTTGGTATTCGATATACAAGACTGTTTCTTCAGAAAGCTTTATCATTGCCCTTATCTATGGCTGTGCGTCTCTCCCAAGTTATTCTCTTGTTAATATGGACGTTTGGCTCCCCAAGAACCCATGCGCCGATCATACTGACTGGTTGGGCTTTAGCCCAAGTGCTCTCCCCACCTGGGGTATTTTCTCCAGTTGTTTGTACTGACATTTTTCTTTTGGTATCTCTACCATGTTCGGCTTGGGACACTGCTGCTCGATGCCATTCACCCCATTAGCGCCTCACCTGACCATAGTGTTGGCCTAGAATAGCTAGTATTTAGAAATTGAAATGGATCCCTTCCCCTCGGATACCCTAATAGGTCGGGCCCAGGAAATATGCAAGAGTTTGACCAAGGTTAGGTCAGAAAAGACTGAAAGATTTGGGAACCCGTTGTCGAAAAGAAAGTTGACTCAGGGCCCCAAAGAGAGAAGAGAGTCATGTCCCCAGTTAGTAGTGTGGCCACTTAAGGAAGGACATGACCTAGCATAGGGACCGCGTGGATGCCACTCACGTACACACAAGATGTGAGCCCCTGCAGGTGTCCATTGTTGACAATGAGAGCCGTTGTTGACAAACTTCCCCGAGACATACCAGCACCGAAGATGCCACTGAAGCGTTGAGGCATTTTTTAAGAGACCATCAATTATCAGGAAAAGCCACCAACAGGACTAAAGAACAAGCCGGATCAATGCAGTGTGTGTAGTAAGAAAAGATTCATAAGTACACTGTGTGAAATTGGGCCGGACTGGATTGTGTATCTACAAACGCTTTAACAAGTCTCATGAGTAACAACTGTCGTTCACAATGAGAGTGAAGAGCTTAAATTTTCCAAGGATTTGATGCAGTACTGTATTATGTACACTTTGTAGTTAACTAAGTTATTAATCTTTTGATTTATCCACACACTTAAACATTTTAACAAACTTTGGTCATTGAACAATTTTGTGAAGATCAATGGTAAACTATATTTTGAAATAGCCAAGAAATATTAAAGATTTTGAGCTTGTAGAAGATTTAGAAATGTTGGGCAAAATTGATTAAATTAAGACCTTAAGTCAACAAAAACTGACATTTCACATGAATGAAGCTTTGATTTCACTGAGCTCGTTACATAAAATTATCCCTGATAACTGTCAGTTTTGGACCTGATGAGTAGGTACCTTAAGTCCTGGAAGAACACCCACTAAAATTAGTATATGGCTGCAGCGTTGATGTTTTTGGACTATAAATCAAACATGGTGACTCAACACTCAATTGCAACGTTTAAGATGAAACATGAATTATAATGTGAACCTTCAGACCAAATTGCAGTTAATAGAATGAGGGCCCACAAATTCATCGCATATGCCTAAGTCTAAAAAGTGTTTGCAGCATCAGAAAGAAAGATTATCAACCATTTTTTTTGGAACGGAAGATATGTGATTCTACTGGAACGAGGCACAACAATTCAGTAAGAAATGAAATGTCAATTATTGCACAATATTAGAAGAGTGATTAAAACAGGAAATGTTGAGCTTGTAAGATTTTGTCAATTCACGACAACACCTAAACCCATACAGCAAACACAAGTTGTGGAATCTGGGTTCTTTCAAAATGGAATAGTTACAACATCTACAATACAGTCAACACACTGAAGTGTCACTACCACTAAATTAATTGAATCAGTAAATAAGTGGCTAGTAATCCAGTGTATCAACGCCGAAGAACAGTTGAAGCAAGATCTGAAAAGATGGTTGTAAACTTTTTTAAGCAAACATTACACCAATTCAACAAGGCAACTCATTACTAATCTTACCGACAAAGTCAACACAATAAGGTTACTTGTATAACTTAATCGAAAATTTAAATGGTTTCCAATCAAATTCTACTGTAACCATTGGGGTAACCCATAATGTCAAAACTAGCAAATTCAAGTCAACATGTTTGTAAAAATGGATATTTTCAAGGGAAGGTAAGTTTTTTATTTCTAAAATAATTTTTTTATTTTTGTCTTCTTTTTCTTTAACACATTGCGCGCTACGCGCGGGAAATCCCGCGTGCCCAACCTGCGCCGCGGGGCTGCGCGCGGGACTTCCCGCGCTTGGTGTTTTGTTTGATGATTCAGTAACCGGCTAGCACTGCCCCGGGAAAGTTCTGCCGTGCGTAGCACTGTGTATCGGACCTAACCTCAAACCCGTGTGGTCTCAGTTTTCAGTTGGCGCCTTTTTATATTTTTCGGTAGTGCGTTGTTTTGAGTGTGATTTTCCCACCGAAGTTATACATTTAACTTTACATAGTTCTTTATTTTTCATTGCAATTGAGTGGAAAATGGCTGCCTCTACATCTAGGCAAAGTATAAACTTTCCAAGTGACAGTGATGATGAAGCCTATGACGACAGTGACGCTGAACTGAGTGGTGAGGAGAGTGAGTCAGATGACGAAATAGATGAATCATACAACCCCACGTGGTCCCCTTTTGCTCAAGGGTTTAGAAGATTTGGGTTTGAAGGTGAAAACCGATTTAAGATACCTGTTCCAGGTCAAAATAAACCTATCGATTGGTTCCTAATGATGTTAGATGATATTTTGCTAGAAAATATTGTTTGCGAAACAAACATTTATGCGTTTGAGGTGTTCAATAAACCTAGTTAGACTGAACATTCACGCATAAATAAGTGGAAAGAACTAACAATTGATGAACTGAAAGTGTTTATAGGCCTAATCTTACACATGGGAACGATCAGACTGAATCGATACCAAGATTACTGGAAAACACAATATTTGTTTGACCTAAAGTGTTTTCAGGACCAAATGAGCAGGGACAGATTCCTATTGATTTTGCGGTGTCTTCACTTCAATAGAAACGCAGAGGATGGCAGGAACGAGGGAACGGACAACAAACTTATAAAAGTTCAAATGTTGGTAGACTATTTCAACAACAAGATGGACGAAATATACTACCCTTGTAGAGAGTTCACTTGATGAGGGAATGGTGCTCTGGAGGGGGCGTTTACTGTTCCGACAGTACATCAAAGGGAAACGCCACAAATACGGCATAAAGCTATATTCCCTTTGTGAACCTAACGGCCTTGTGGTTCGTTTTACTATCTACTCTGGAGGTCAAGGACAGCTAGGAGGTAAAGGACATGCCATAAAAGTCGTGATGCACCTTATGAAAGGAAAGTTGAATGTCGGACATGCACTCTATATGGACAACTTTTACAACAGCTTTCCTCTTGCTTCAAAGCTCTTGTCCAAAAAGACTTACTGCACCGGAACCCTTCGAATGGACCGGAAGTATCTCCCAGAAGACATCAAAGCTGCCAAGTTGAAAAAAGGAGAGACAGTCGCTCGGTATGCTGAAGGTGTCATGGTCGCTAAGTGGAAGGACAAACAAGTTGTGTCTTTCCTCTCCACGGAGCATGACAATACGATGGTTATGTCGTCTAATCGACGTAATGTCCAACGAGAGAAACCGTTGGCAATTGTTCAGTACAATGCCAATATGAAAGGGGTAGATAGGAGTGATCAAATGCTCTCCTACTACCCCAGTGATCACAAATCTTTGCGGTGGTACAAGAAAATATTCATCCATCTTATCCAGATGATCATGGTAAATGCGCACAAGCTATACAACGTCGCCAACGAAGACAACACGTTGCAGCTGTATGATTTACGTCTCAGAGTTATTGAAGCGCTCTTGCCTCCCAAAGATGTGCCTCCACCACAACGGCCTCCTCGCAACCCCCTTCATGTTCTATCCAAGACGACCAAACTAGATAAAAAAAGGACGTCTGCTTGGAAAAAGATGCCGTCAGTGCCTGAAAGAAGGACGACGTAAAGAAACAGTGTATATGTGTGGCCAATGTGAAGGGGAGCCTCCGTTGTGTGCGTTAGCTTGCTTTGACAAGCACCATGCAGACTTACAGTAAAATTGAGACTATTGAAGGAGGGTGGAAGGGTTGTATATATTTGTAAATAAATATTTTTAAGTTTTCTTTTGTAATACTTTTAGTGCAAAACATTGATTTTTATTACTTTCAAAACCAAAAATAATACATAATGACTTATCACCAACATCGTTGCTGGAGCGCGGGAATTCCCGCACAAAGTGACGTCACTATTCGTAGCTACTGAGTGTCATCAAGTCGCCAATCTCACACTGGGACATTATATTTCTTCATTATATGTAAAAGGTATGTGTTTACAGCAATAATAGTGTAATTATTTTTGTAATACCTTGCCCAAATGCTGAGCGCGGGAATTCCCGCTCAATATTATGACGTCATAAAAAAAGTTTGTTTGCCATGGAAACCAATTTAGATAATTATATTTAACATTCCTGTGGTGTAATCTATGAAAATAATCACTAAAGTAATTTCAGCACTTGGGTACGTTTATCCATATTTCAGTAGCAGTCAATGTGTTAATGTCTTGCTTGCAGTGTTTATGGTACTCGAACAAAGTTGAACAGTGGAATCTGAAACAGAAAAGTAATGTAAAAATGTTCAGGTTCGACACAAAAAACGAATTTTTTGAATACATGTAAAGAACCTCAAGAAGCAAAACTAATCACTCGCTACAGGTAACACAAGTACATGTGTTGTGTACTATACCAAAGTAGTTAAGAATTGCAATTCATTCAGTTGAGTGTTTCTAATTCACCAAATAAATTAATGTTTAAGTAATGGTTACATATGACTCCAGCCATTACTACACATTCGCCCAAGTCACCAAGTCGTAGTCAGATCTAAGTTAGAGAGGTCCGAGCTCAAGTCACAAGTCTCACAAGTTGAGTTCTGTTAGGCAATTGTTTAATAACATATTCATAATGAGGCTGCAAGTTTTTGGAAACCTGTACCTTGGCCACTGACATGGGCCAAGTTGTATGGCCAATTTGTTAAAATATAAAATAAGGCTTAGCCTTAAGTTTTGTAGGGCTATAAAACTAGCAGTATGAACAAAATCAGTTGTCAATTTGTAATTTAAATACCGATACTTTTGAAGATATTAACCCTCCGAGTGTCCATAGTTTAGGCCTTAATGTCCACCTATTTTTGGCCCCTTTGCAAGGTTTTATTAAAACGGATCTGAGAAGCTTAAAACAATGTTAATTCTAATGTTCTATATACCATTTTGTTTGGAAAATCATGGGCTTCAATATTATATATAAAACATAAGGAACATTTTTTCAAAAAAAAAAATTTTAGGAAAAAAAAATATAATTTCGAAAATTTGCAAAAAAAAAATAAGTTCGCGCTCAATGAAATTGTATAAATTATAGGCCTATAAATATTTGAAAATAGCCACTTTGTTCTAAATTTAATGAGGATTACAAATATATAATCATATAGCGAGGTAAGTTATCAAATAAATAAGTTATGAGCGAAAAACGGATTTCAGTACATAGCGTTTAGCTAAGAATGCATAGCCTAACCATAGCTAGGAATCTGGCTGATAATTTACATCAATATCACTACCTACTTCTTCAGGATCATCAACCAGCACTTCAAAACCACTTAAATCTTCTTATAATGCACCACGTATATCACTACTTTTGATTTTTAACACTAAAACAATGATAAACGTAATAAAACACATCAGTCATCGGTCCGGGGGAACCTAGCTGTTTACAAATACACGCACGTCAGCTGTCTGCTACAATATTTTCGGAACTAAAATGAATAGCGCTTAGAGACAGACCTCTGCAGAAAGCTTAGAATATTACGGAAAGAACGATACCTAACTCGATCCAGTTCAATCCGATTCAGTCAGTCATAGAGCCTTCGCCGTAAACGATGTTTGTGCGTCTTAAAAGCGACGCGTGACCCTACACAAAGTGTGTTGTGCGTCGTTTTTATGACGCGTGACACTCGGAGGGTTAAAACAGAAGAAATATAGATCATAAAGGAAAACAAAAATATTGATATAGTTATCCTATTATATCCTATTGAAAAAAATCATCGATAAAAATGAATGTTCCCTTTAACAGGTAAATCGGCCCTGACTCAAGGAAGTTGTAAGTAAACCCTCACAAATATTTCTTAAGTCTTACTGCAACATGAATAAACATTGAGGGTGGATGTCATTTTGATATTGACTCTGCGTATTATTTTTTTTAATTCCATGTAGAACTAGTGTAGGATTTCTTCCCAACCAATTTTTCATATTTAAGTTAAGTTAAGTTAGTGCATATATAACTGGTAGGCCGACATGATAACTTATTTTTTCGTACTTATAAAGATTTAGCTTACTTAGGCTTAAGTTACTATATTCTTACGTCCAGCCCTGAATGCAACCTCGAGTAGACTAGGCAAAACAAACCTAGGCCTAGGTGTGAGTAGATTGTCGGTTGCTAAGAAACCGCAAATAAATGAATAAGTTTATTTATTTATTCACTCCAACGGATACACCATTTACAAAATAATATATTTAAGCACACGAGTAGAATGGAAAGATAAAAATTGCATTTGAAATAACAAGAGAAGCTGCAAGTTAGCCTAGGCCTAGTCCAAAGAACTTAAATACTCAAGCATGAAATGTCTAAATAGGGCCTAGGCCTACCTCAGAAGTAACCAGCATTAACTTATCAAAATATAGTTGTACCTTTTTTAATGTTGTTAAAAGTCTGGTTGGCCTAGCCTATCTTAACTTAAACTTGCTAGGGACTAGCTTATCTTGATTACAAATATCAAATGTGGAGATGTGATTTATTTAGTAAAAATTTAGGACCCAGACCTCAGCTTAAAAACACTTTTTTTAGTGTGAAATTGTGTAAAAAGTGTATAAAATGAAGTTTTGGAAGATAATAATTGGGGGAAAAGCCATTCCACTCCCAAATAATTACTGGAATTTAATAAAACCCACCCTAACCAAGGTTCCTCCAAAAGCTTAATAAACAGAAATTGGTGTAACTTACCGGTACATACTGAGGTTTTGGATTATTTAAATTCTCAACTTCAAGAAAGTTGAATTCACTAAATCAATGTGAAAAATTCACAAGGAATATGCACTCGACATATAATTTACTGCTGTCTCACTCAAAGATAACCAAAACCGGCACGCACGGAGAGCAACATGTCTTTGGTTTGCCAGCCTACAACGAAAATTAAAATTCCTTTGTCCAACGATTTCCTACATAAAATTTATTCCCACATATTTCACCAGGAATCACCCCGTTTCCTACATAATGTCCGAACGTGACTTTCCCACACAATTACCCCAACTTAGAATTAAAATGAATCACCAATTAGAGCTACATCCACCTTTGTCACTACTTCACTTTAAACTAAGTAACAACCGAGTCATGGATACAGTTCTAAACAAACAACTAACACAGAAACCAGCAAGCCAATCAGATTAACTTACTGCACAAAAGAAACCATCAGCCAATCAGAAATCTGCACAATTACATCATCTGTTGATATGTTTCACCACAAACAATAGCAATGCAGTGACAGGTCACTGTACCACAATGACCCCCTAGAATTAACTTTATTTAACCTGAATTCCCTCGGTATATTATTTCCCGTAAAATCCCAGTTTCAATAACAAAGTAAGTACTACAGTTAAGATTTCAATATATAACTTAGATCTTATGACCATAAGATGCCTATACGCTATGTGTTGAGGAAAAAATATTTGTTGATATTAAATGAAACTGTTCTAAGCTAACCAAACCAACCAATCTTCCTGCATGATTTCATGAGGAAAAAACAATTGTTCTTCATGAAATGAAACTGTTCTAAACCAACCAAACTTGCTGTATGATTTCATAAATCGGTATAATACAAAAGAACTCAAGATAAGCCTGTACAAACCATGAAACTAAATAACCGTAGGCCTAAATGAGATTATGTAGACACCAGCGCCCAGTGTCACCAACATGAACTAGGACTAAGTAGGCCTACTGTTAACACGATTAACGAGTAGGTACGGTACCTATCAACTTGTGTTGGTCCATAGATATATCAATTCCGATACTCTTTCTCCTTGAGGAGCTTGTTTAATCTATGTTAATTCGTAACAATAAGAAAATAAGTCCACAGATATAACTTTTGATATTATAGCCTAGGCCTAGTTTCTAAATATTTAGAAACGGGATCCTAAATAAGTAAGTTTAGGCTGCCATTTATTCTATCATTAAACATAACACATTTTCTTTCTAAATAAGTTACCCTAGCCTAGACAAAATAGGTACACTGCATGTGGAAAGGACAAGAAAAATCATGTTTTGATCACGTTAGTCAAGAACAGATAGGTAGGTACAAAATTGACGACAAATTATGGGAAAACGTTGTCTTTGATATTTAGGCCTGGATTAGATACTTCCCCTAAAAAAGACAAGAAATAAATGCATGGCGAAAGTTACATTTGCTAAAAAGACATGAAAAACATAAAACAGGCCCTAGCGGCCTAGCCTAACATGAAGACTAGGTCTAGGATTCTAACGATAGGGTTAGTTTGTAACCTGATTGACGAAAGACAGGGATTGCGGGATAATTGGCCTGGATTATATAATGGAAATTTGGTATGGTTCAAATTAATCAATTCATTTACCCTCTTATTACCGGCCTGAGTCTTCCTCTTCAGTCTTAATAATTTGAGAATGAGATGAAGTTGAGTGGAAGTGGAGAGAAGTCGCAGTCGCCACTCGCCACTCGCCAGTCGAGCAGTCAGAAGAGAAAAGAGAAAGGAAAAGAAATGGCGTCGAGTCGAGGGACGACTAGACCGAACCGAACGGACTAAGCGTCTAGTCTAGACTGGCAGTGCAACTCCGAGGATCGTGGATCAGATCACCCCCCACCACCGCACCATGTCGTACGCTTCCGAATCATGCCGGCGCATCAGCATAGCCTAACTGTTCGAGGAAAATTGATATCTCTATCAATGTCGCTGTCAAAACGTATCGTTTATAGGTTAAATTTAAAATAATTACACTATCATAACCTAACCAAACTAACCAAACTTGCTCATAATGAAAAACTCGATTGAAGGTTTACTAATCGAAAAAATAGTTCTGTTCTAAAAATAAAATTATAAATCTCTCAAATTCAAGTTTATAATTTTTAATGATAATTAAACTGTCATAACCTAACCAAACCAACTAAACTTGCTGATTTGAAAAACATTGTTGACAAAAAGTTAGTGCAACCAATACCCAGTTCTGTTATAAAAATAAAATTTTAATAAATGTCTCAAATTCAATTTTATAATTTTTAATTATAAAATTAAACTGTCATAACCTAACCAAACCAACCAAACTTGCTGATATGAAAAAAATTTTGACAAAAAGTTAGTGCTACCAGTGGGATTCGAACTCTCAAAAGACGATTGTTACAACTAAGCACTGGCGGGTAATTTTGCCGCCCGCCTCGCAAATTTTAGGTTGTTGTTATGGCAACACTGCATCAAATACGCGAAAAAACAACTTCGCTCTTTCATTGTTATTCGCGTCTTCCGTTTGTTTCTGAAGAAGATAGAAGAAAAATGATCAGAAGATGAGTAAGTGGCTAAAATCAGCGAAATAGGATACAACTATTATAATAAAAATACTATCGCATTAAAACAATATTTTACTTATTTTCTACGAATAAACACTTTGTTCAACAGACAATATAAAATTACCTAATCTATTACACATTCCTAAAAGATACCCAACCACAAGGGCGGTCCCAGGGGGGGGGGGTCAGGGGGGTCATGACCCCCCCCCCAAAATATTTTTTATATATATAAACTATTATACCAGGGGAACTTTAATAATTTTTATTGCAAATCGTTCTGCCAAATTAAAATTCATTGTAGTCTTTACACTTGTGGCGAATGAAAGGACTAATTACAAACTCTAACCTAAAACTCAACGTTCGAGTCTGACTGTTTTTTGTACGTTATGAAAAGTAGGGAAGATCGGCAGACGACGGACGCTTTCAGCCATATACAGCAACGGCAGTGTCCGATGCTGACATGCGACGTTCGGTCGCATTCTTCTTCTTATTTAATTTTTCGGCATTTATCATTCATTGAAAACTTGAATTGGGTTTGGGTATTGGATAAAGAAAAGAAGTTGTATCAATAGTCAAAGCTTGAAAGGTAGTTGAATATTAATTTATCTGAGCTGAGCGTTAGGAATTTGTAAATTACAGTAGGCCTAATGTAATTCAATGATTACCGTAGCAAATTTCAAAACATTCAATATTAAATAGTATTCATATTAAGAGCCCCTGATATCATATTTAAGAATTCCACAATCCAATTGGATTGCTATTTTTTTTAATACTATAAAAAAAATAGCGTTAAGAATACCACAATCCAATTGGATTGCTATTTTTTTTAATACTATTCTTAACGCTATTTTTTTTATAGTATTAAAAAAAATAGCAATCCAATTGGATTGTGGTATTCTTAAATATGATATCAGGGGCTTCCATTCCATACCCCCCAGGCCCCCCGGTGACCCCCCCCCAAAATATATGTCTAGGACCGCCCTTGCCCAACCAAGTGTATTAGAATTATATGACAAGGGGTACCGGAATATCAAACAAGATAAAATAACATTCTAAGCCTTAAGTCTACACAATTCTTAAAATTCAGTTTTAGCACTAATAATTTGTTTCACTAATAGAAACAGTGCAATTGTTTTAGGATCATACCATTTTTTTACTATCATGTTATAAACAGCACGATGCGGACATGTGCGGAACGATGTAATGTGATCGCCAAGTTTATAAAGCCTTACTTCCTGATAAGCAATAAACGACCCGTTGGTTTTGCTGAAAATTTTCAGGCTAATTATTGAAATAGAACTATTAATGAACTATCAAAAAAAAAACCCCCCGCTTCGTGACTATTTGTAGTTCACAAGTTTGTAATCGTTATAATTTCCCCCTTTTAAAATACATATTATTGATCATAACTAAAATATTTTTGGACCATAAAATTCTCTAGTTAATGCCGATTACAACGATATAAGTTTTATACGGAAAATTTAATTGTGTACATTTAGGGAAGCATTTAAATGAGCGGTTTGTATATGTGTCACGCGCTAGCTACACCCGTGGAGGCAGCCCGGTGACGTCACAGCCACACGGCAGTGGGACCACTTTGCTAGTCGACGTGAGCCAGCCCCTGTATTCTAATGCCCCGCTCATGACATAGCTCCGTATCGTTGCGTTAATGGTTGACGTCACGCCATCGGCACGGAGCGGTGGTAAGGGTTTTCAGTTCTGATCCACGATCCTCGGAGTTGCGCTGGCTGCCTAGATGCTTATACCGAACGGCGAACTCTAATCACTCTAATCCGGCGATGTTTATCCTTTTCGCTTTTCTTTCTTTCTTGCTGTTTACAGCCTGCCACACTAACTGTCATGCCCCCTGCAGACGGGGACAGTAGTGGCGTCCAGTACTGGCGTCCACAAGTGGCGGCCACTGTACTGTACGATGTCATAGCTTATAATGTCATAGCTTATAATTGCGAATTTGTTGCATAGCTTATAATCTTGAAAATGTGGCATAGCTTATAATGGGAAATGTAAATTGTTCAATAGCTTATAATCGTGGAAATGTGGCATAGCTTATAACGGTTTTCTTAATATGTGGCATAACTTATAATGGTATAGCTCAAATGTGCTGCAGCTTATAATATCTCGTTTGTTCTATAGCTTATAATTTTCAAAATGTGGCATAGCTTATAATGCGCGGGAATGACGTCATAGCGGATGGAACAGCTGGTTGATCCTCAGTAAACATTGTTTACTACATTGTTTACATTGTTTGTTATGGAGGTTAGTTGATTTAAGTCGAAACAAACAAATTATCGTGCGATGGTCCTCAAATTTCGTACGATTACGAACTAGCAGCCACTACTCGGCAATAGAAGTTGCGTTAAGTGCAGCCAACGTAGCAAAACCCAACATATTTTAAAACTCCTGAAAGCAAAAAGGTCATATGTACTCGATGTATATTAAAACGTGTTTTTGTTTAATAGTAGAATAATAATTTTGGGTATAGGCCTATATTGTTATTCTTTAATTATGTAAACTGAAACATATTATCAAAAGTTTGATACTGCTCGTAATGCTAAATTATACTATGCATTTTTTTACAAAGTTTTATTTACAATCTTATAGTATCTAGTTCTTATTTTATAATATTTATTTTGTAATATTGTGTAATACCGGCACAAAAATACCATAGACTATGCCACATAAGTAGACTTCTCATCCCATTGTTAATTTTGAAGCTTGTTTTTCTTGTCTATTTCATGTACGTCACACTCATCACTACTGTGGACGTAATCTTGTTTCTATTATTTTAGGGGTATTTTCATTTGTGCTTTACTGTTTGGTTTTATAATTAGGACTAGGAGACCAGTTATTATTTATGATTATATCTTTTATTTGGTTAAATGAGGTTTTAAATAACTGAAATAACAAGAAACAAATTATAAACCAAACACAACCTCTACAGTTGGTACAGAACTAACAATAAAATTGGCTTCAGCTGTTCAACAAGGATGACAAATCTACTAAAAGGGACTTTATGTTTTATCTACGATACAACATATTCCCTTAGTAGATCCTACTAATATTATGAGAAAGTTTGGATGTATGGATATTGATGTATGGATGTACAGTATGTTTGTGACAAGTGAACGCGAAAAATACTGGTCGGATTGGGCTGAAATTTGGCATGATGATAGCTCACATTCCCGATTAACATATAATAGGCATATTCTTATTTCAAAAATCCTTTCGGACTCCGCCCCATTGCCTCTGGAGTTTCCCATGTTAACCTTATGAGAAATGGAATTATTGAATCTTAACAGCTGTTTCAATTAAACGAGTTGGTTCTGTTCTATGATGTTCAATAACATTAAAGTTACAAGGATTACCAACAGGGTGCAGCACTATTATTTCTTTTACATTTATGACAACAGCTAATTTGCAACCAAAAGGTGAGTGAGCGTAGCGAACGAACTTCAACCTGGAGGCGAGTTAGCGTAGCGAACGAACTAACCTGAAGGCAAGTGAGCGCAGCGAACGAGCTCCAACCTAAAGGTGAGTGAGCGTAGCGAACGAGCTCCAACCTAAAGGTGAGTGAGCGTAGCGAACAAACTTCAACCAGGACGTGATTGAGCCATGCGAAAGAGATAATCTTGAAAATTAAGAAGTTAAACGGGGCAAAGCCCGCGGGTTACAGCTAGTTTCTCATATAGAACAACTGAAGCCAAAACTTTAGTTTTTATTTCAGTCCGGTGCAATGTAGATTGGAGAGGTCATGTTATGTTTACAATTTGTTTCTTGTTAGTTCAGTATTAAAGCCTTCGTTTAGCCAAATAAAACTATCTTGTCGTAGCGGTCAGTGTCGCCGGACAAGAACTAGCACAAAAAACGAGCTTAAAAATTTACAAATTTTAACATTGACCGGCAGAATTCTGTGTTGAAAGTCAGAATTATCTAGCATGTGTTCACCTTTAAAACCTAAGTCAAATTTAACAACCTGGCCTTACTCTCTATGAAAAATTAGAACTATGAGTTTTAAGTCAGAAAGTGCGAAGGTGAGTATGAGACCTGATTAATGGCTGTATTGCTATGGGAGCGCGTTTTAAGGTGCCACCACGACACACAAGGATACAAACGTCGATAAAACGTTGGTTAGTCTCTATGGTAA